TAATTCATTACAAGATTATCAAGAGTTTGCAAGACTTAGATCACTTTGTAAAAGACTGGTAAAAGAATCGCATCACAATTATATTTCTCAAACAGAATCTTCAATACCAAATAACTTAAAACAGTTTTGGAAATTTGTAAATGACAAAAGAAAAACCTCAAACTTTCCAAGTGAATTAATATATAATGGCATAACAAGTTCTAGTGGCAATGATATAGTTAATTTGTTTGCTGATTTTTTTTCAAAAGTATATGTTCATAATGATTGTGATATTTCAAAGGTACCTGTATATGTCAATAACATAAATATATTTAACTGTGATATTAAAATATCCGATGTTTATACTAAACTAGCAGCTTTAGATATTCGTAAGTGTCCTGGGCCGGATGGAATTCCTCCATCTATTCTAAAACCATGTTCTTTTATTTTAGCACGACCACTGTTCATAATTTTTAACTTTTCTCTCTCTCTGGGCATATTTCCAACAGTCTGGAAGATAAGTTATATAACACCAATTTTTAAATCTGGCAACAAATCCGAAGTAAAGAACTATCGAGGAATCAGTATCTTGAGTACCATACCAAAATTATTTGAAAATCTGGTTTGCGAACCTTTAACATCTTCACTCAACAATATACTCATAGATCAACAATTTGGCTTTAGACGTAAAAGTTCAACAGAATTAAATTTATTAACATATTCCCACTACCTGTCAAATGCCCTTGAAAATGGATATGAAGTGCATTCTATTTATACTGATTTCTCCAAAGCCTTTGACCGGGTAAACCATAGAGTTTTAATCCACAAATTGAAAATGGCTGGGGTAAATGGATCACTTTTAAATTGGTTAGAAAGCTATTTAATTGATAGACGTCAAATTGTACATATTTCAAACTACAAGTCATACGGCATACACGTACCTTCAGGCGTCCCGCAGGGCTCACATCTAGGACCACTACTTTTTAATATATTTGTAAACGATATTAAATCCTGTTTTCATTTCGGTAAATTCCTTTTATTTGCAGATGATCTCAAACTGTACTCTACAGTATCATCTGACCTTCACTGTGTGTCATTGCAGTCTGATTTAGATAACCTAGTCAATTGGTGTGACTTAAATGGAATGAGCCTAAATTCGGATAAATGTAATGTTATCATATTCCATCGAACTCGTGATACAATTAATTTTCAATATACAATCAGTGCCAATATCTTGGAGAACTGCAATATTATTAGAGATCTAGGGGTCAACTTTGACTCACAACTATCTTTTGTTCCACATATTTCAAATATTATCAACAAATCTCTACAGATGTTAGGATTTCTAAAAAGAACTACTCAGGATTTCTCAAACATCAACACACTTAAAATCTTATATTGTTCTTTAGTTAGAACTCATTTAGAATACGCTTCATGTGTTTGGTCCCCAAACTATGTCTCACATATTGTCAAATTAGAAAGAGTCCAGCATAAGTTCTTACGTTATGTGGCCTTTAAGCAGGGTATTGGAGTCGAAGATATTAACTACTCTAAATTGGAGACAGATTTGAATATCCAATCTATTAATAGCCGTCGAAACAAGAAAGATTTCATAATGTTATATAACATATTTAATTCTCGAGTACCGTGTCCTCAATTGTTGCAAGAGATAGGAATTCACGTCCCACCCAGGACAACCCGCTCAGCGAACATTTTTCAAATACCCTTCCACAGGACGAATTATGGACGTAATACCTTCATTGTTCGTTCTGCTAGGTTCGCAAATACTTACCGTGCTGACCTCGATTTCTTTAGCTCCGTCAGCTCATTTATGGAGACTCTCAGGGGTGCAGTTTAGTATAATGTATTGTAATGGTACTTATTAAAGGTGTATTTTTACTTATTTTTTTATAAATGTACTTTATTAACTGTACTATAGTACTATTTGTATTTTATCTATTTTAACTATTATTTGTATTATTTAATTTGTAACTTTATTTTATTAATCGAAATTATACTGTGTAATGCTATACATAACATTGTATTTAACTAAAAGGGGAATGTCCCGTTTATATATATAAATAAATAAATTTCTGTTTAGCATAAATGATATGAAAAAAAAAAAATGTTAAATGATTAATATTATTGTATTTAATAGTTTACATGTAATTTTATATATCATAATTTTGAGGTATATTTTGGAGCTGAAGTTCAAAAAATGTTGTTTTGAGATTGGTCAAACGTATTCCACAAAACATTTTTTTAATTTTTTTCTATGACAATTGGTTCTGTTTCTCTGTTCTTCAAATTAAGTTGATTGTTCGAGGAATTTGGAGCTTGGGTACGAATAATAATTTACCAAGTGGTAAAGATGTAGAGAAACTTATTAAGAAAAAATCAGTATTTCGTTGCTGTTCTTGCTAAACCTCCTATTTCAAAATTATTCATAATTGAGATACGTGGTTTATGGATAAATCAGTTATTGCCGCAATAGATCCTACTCGTAGCTTAATTGTATTTAAATTTCGCGACAAACAACTACGAATCTATAACAAGTATCTTAGCCTTATATATTTTAAACCTACTATATAACTCGTATAAATTTAGGGCGCGAACGCGTATCTAATGTCATCATAGTTTTATATAAGCTATACTTTTTATCTAGCATTTTCAGAACCTTTTTTTACTGTTAAGATAATAGTTGATGTTTATTAGTGTTTATGAATATAAATAAGACGGTAAGTAATCCTATAAGGGTATTTTTATAAAAACTAAACTTATTATTATTTGATGTTGGCGATTTTTAACAGTGATATTTTTAAGGTTATGCTTATGTTTTTAAGATTAATACTTCAATATAAATACTAAATGTAGTGTCTTAATTCTTAATTGATTATTCTGTAGCAACATTTTTAATAATAAGGTAAAACCGGTAGAGATGGCGCAGCGGGTTAGATGGCGCAGTGCGATATTTCCCTATACGGATTAAGAGCCGGGAACATGGCCAATGGTGCAGATCTGCAGTTGTGAGTAAACACGTGTGCCGTTCACCTCTCGCCCATCATTTGGAGTTAAGGTATTTGAAATTTTATTTTTATATTTCAGCATGTCCCTATGTTTTTCTTGTTAATAAGTAATTTAACTATTTGGGGGTGAAGGTAGCCGAAGTTTTTAGTATTTGTAACGTTGTCGCTTAGAAGTGAGACTATAGTTTGTTTTCTAACCTTAAAATCATTCACATTGGTGTTTGTTCATGAGCACGTGACCGAGCCATCTCACCCAGTGCAAATTGGGTTAGATGGCACGCGCCTTCTCATCCTACGAGTGAGGAGAGTTGGCGTGCGCTATCTCACCCCACCTATTAACTTAAATTGCTAAAAGAATTAGCTTGAAGCTTAGCATAAGAAACTTTTTATTTTTTAGATGCCTACTAACTAGCATCCAGGCAGTTTGATGTTCCTTGTACGACACTTCGTCGAATACTGGCCACAGGTCACATTAAAAAGAAAACTCTAGGTCCATCATCGGTACTATGAAATGAAAATGAGAGAAAGATTGCCCGCCATATTAAAAAATTACAACAACAAGGATTCGCTCTAACAAGGAAAATTGTTCGTCGAATGGCGTACCAACTTGCTGAGCCGCTTAACATTAAACATACCTTTAACAAAAATACTAAATTGGCTAGAGAGGATTGGTTTAGATCATTTTTACGGAGGAACCTAGACTTATCTGTTAAAAAGTCAGAAGGTGTATCACTTGCTTGAGCCCGAGGAATGAACAAGCAAGATGTCAATGCCCATATTGATCTACTAGGGAATACTTTGGAAGAACATGGTCTCTTCGATAAGCCTGGCAACGTCTTTAACATGGACGAAACCGGACTTCAACTTACAATAGGCCTGAATATGTTATTGCAGAAAAAGGATCTAAAAACGTAGCGGCGATAACTTCAGGCGAAACGGGGGAAACAATCACTGTAATCTGTTCTTGTAACAGGGAAGGAACATTTATACCGCCTGCTTGCATATTTAAAGGTAAAAACAAAAAAATTAATACGAAGACGGGATGTCCCCTTGATCCGTGGTTTATATGTCTGAAAAATCAGCGTATATTAACACTTCCATTTTCTTGACATGGCTACAAACACAATTTGTTCCTAGAAAACCACTAGGGATATTGATTCTTATTTTAGATGGTCATACATCGCACTGCGGTTCACTAGAGGTTCTAGAGTACGTTGAAGCAAACGATATCACTTTATTATGCCCTCCCAGCCAGATGACACAGTTTCTGCAGCCTCTAGATCGTGGATTTTTTAAAGCATTTAAAAGGTATTACTATGCTGCCTCCAATAATTTTATTTGAACGAATCCCACAAGAGCACTAAATAGATTACAGTTTGGCAAATTGTTAGCAGAGGCGTGGTCAAATTCAGCTACAGTAAACAATGCCACATCATCTTTTCGTGCCACCGGAATTATGCCGTTCAGAAGAGAAGTTATTCCAGACTACGCGTTTCTGAACCAGAATGAAAACTTTAGTCATGATGCAACACACGGAGAAACCGCCCAAGACATTAATCACCAAGCAACCCGTGAGCGCACAGTTCCTGAAAAAGACAATAACCTTACTCATGACAACCTAGAGAATCCAGCAAGTTATAAAGATATTATCCAACCTGAAAATAACAAGACCCTGGCCAAAAACCCTGAAAAGGAGAAAACAACCCCGGGAAAACTGTTAGACACTATCTGTCCAGTCCCTAGTACTTCTAAAGTGGATGTGGTTCGCAAACGCAGCCGTCAGCTTGCTGAAATATTAACATCGCCCGAAAATATTTCAAAAAAGAAAACTCCAGCAGAAAACAAAACTAAATTGGGCCACAAAAAAAAAGAAATGTGCGAAAAATATAAAAAAATCTAGGAACAGCCAAGCGGAGAAAGTAAGAAACTACAGCGACTCTTCTTCAGATAGCGACACACCGCTAACAGAACTAAAAAATAAACTGTCGACGCAAAATGAAAAATAACAATATCACAAAGAAGCTACGAGTTTCTTCTTCAGATAGTGACGTAACTGTTGATTTACAAACCGATTCACCCAACAGCATCTATGACAACGATGACCAAACTGAGTGTGGGGAAATCTACATAACCACTACAAGCCAAGAAGACTGGTTGCAGTGCGTTTCTTGCCACAGATGGCTCCATGAAGGTTGCACGAGTTTTCCAAACTACTGTTTGCGATGAGGCAGGCGACAAAATTTGAGAATTTAGTTATCTTTTGTTACATTTTGTGTGAACGCCAGAGATGAGATGGGTATGGGTGAGAACCCATACCCGTTATACCCAAGGGGTGAGATGCTTTTTTCTGTCAATCTGAAGAAAAACATTTTTTGATCAGTAAAATTAAATAATGTTTTATTTTTTTTGTATCCTCTACTTTTATTTTACCCAATATAATTTTGTTCTTATATTTTGTGTGTGCGCCATCTCACCCATACACAATGTGTGAGATGGTTTTTTCTGTAATTTTGAAAAATACATTTTTTTTTTTGATTAAAATTGAAATTAGTGTTGTATTTTTGTATCCTCTACTTTTATGTTATCCAGTATAATCATATAAAAGGTAATTCCCATTTAAAAACTGTAAATCTGATTTTTTATGCGAACTTAAAAAAACGTGCGCCATCTCTACCGGATTTACCCTAAATATTGTTATTACAATGAAAGTTATTTTCATGATATTTTCTAAGAATTAACTGAGTTACGAGGTTTAGAATTTGGCAGTTACGAGAAATTATATGAATAATTCGATATACGTATTTAAGCAATATTTTCAACAATAAAAAAATTAGTTACCAACTTATAAAATCGCTTATGCAATTGTCCGTATAGAGGTAAGGAGCTATAGGAATCATAATTTTTTTTCAACCTCCAGTTTTCAATGGATTTTTACCTTTTGGGATCCCTGAATATATTTTGACTCTTTTCGTGATAATATCTATCGTAAGCCTTAATCCATCCTGCGGTGAACTGATTAGATTTTGGGTCGTTTTTCTACTTTATGGAATATATATTTACTTTTCGAGGAGAACATTCTTCAAATAAAAGTTACTTGTGCTATTATTCTCTATATTTGTCATATACATAATTTTCCTAAATTTTTGAGAAATTTGACAATGAGCCGTATTCGAGTTTAGGAGAAGTAGAGCTACACCACTCCGAGGCCAAAATCGTGCATTTCTTATGGAAATTAACATGGGAATTTCTAAGGTCCAAAAAGGCATTTTTGTCACTAGATTTAGTAACTTTTCAAAGTCCAGTAACTTTTTTCGTAGATTGGTGGCACTGATTTTCTCACTAGATTTTATGTAACACTGTTTGTCACTAGATTTCCAAAATCTAAGCTGTTTTGCAGCGGTATCTGCTTTAAAAATTTTTCGTATGTTGGAAATGAACGTTTTCCAGCATTAAAACGGTGACGTCATTAAGAACCGGGTTTAAATTAGGTTCTTGAAAATTGAACCGTGCTCTAGTCTAGACGCAGCATGGAGGAAGGATTAGACGCAGTTTGATAAAACAACTGGAAGGGTTTAGACGGTTGCTTTTTTTGGTTTTTGTTGTTAGCATTTATTATTAAGAATGTTTAAAATTAAGTTAGAATATATTTTGGTAACAGTAGATGGAGAGGCTTCCATACAACTGAGATGTAATAGGAGATTGAAGTTTAAAAGAGTATTTTCTTTATTTATAACTGTTTTACATTTTAGATCCAGAATATGCATCCAAATACTATAAACTAGTAAAAGCAGAACTGGATAAAGAAAACAATCTACCTACCAATTCTACTACTTTATGGAAAACTTTAAAAAATCCTACCGAGGCAGATCACATTGCAACGCTAGCGCTGGTGTATTTTCGGAAAGAGTTTAGCAGAGAATTTGATGTTAAAAAGACTACTTAACCCATTAGCGTCCAGCGCCCTCATCTGAGGACAATTTAAAATAAACATTGCTGGAGCCATAAAAAACAATCGATACAATCTATTTTTAGCCTAAGTGCACGTGCATAGATGTAACTTCGGCTGAAAACGTTTAGTTTTGCCGTAAGATTTATATAAGCCAGACGTAATATTTTTGAAAATCTGTGTTTTTATTGCTCCGTCGGCCAGAGGTATTTTAAATCATATCTACTGCTGTACTTTAGGTAAGTGAATACTTATACTATTATTACAAACTCAAAACACATATCTTTTGTTGTGGCACATCACGGTTGCATATTTTTCTTATATTTTTTTGGAAATCTATGATAAATAACTGTGTCCTCGAATGAGGACGCTGGGATTTAGAGTCATATTTCATCTACAATATTTTTCTGATATTATATTGTTTTTTTTTTTCAGAATTAGCCAACATGAGTAGACACAAGTTTTTAAAACTTTAGATGAAGCTGTCGAATATCTATATTCAGAAGAAATCGAGGCTGTCATCGTAGCTTTACCGCCTGAAGTGGATGAGCTTACCGATGAAGATGATCTCAACGATGACGATCTGGATGTACCTGTTGTATCGGATGTTGCAGCACAAACAAAAATAAACTTGCCTTTCGTTGATGAAGACGATAATAATGTTCCTTTATCGGTTTTTACCAGACAAGGGCCATCAACGTGACATCAAAAGGAGCAGTCAGATTTTTAATCCAATGGGGAAGAAGAATCCGCTCCAAAGCGGAGTAAAAAAATATTGCTTGAAAAAAACGTACCGAAATGGAAGAAAACCAATCCACAATTTTATATATGGGAAAATACTAATACGCCGCAAGAAAAGTTTGCCGATATGTTGCCCATTTTATCTGACACAAGCATGTTGGAAATTTTTGAACATTTTTTTTTCGGAACAGGTGTATCAGAAAATCGTAGACGAAACAATTCGTTATGCAGCTGAACAAAAAAATAAGCCGTCATTTTCTGTGGAAATTGAAGACATAAAGATATTCGTTGGATTTTTGTTTTTTTTTCTGGATATCATAGACTGCCCAGTAAACGGGATTATTGGTCTGACGCTGAAGATTTGGGTGTACAATTAGTAAAGGACGCCATGAGTCGGAACCGATACTTAGAGATAAAGGCAGTGCTACATTTGCAAGATAATACAAAAGCAAATGAAAACAAACACGATAAGGCGTTCAAAATAAGGCCCCTTCTTGATGCTCTAAATAAAAACTTTCGAAAGTGGGGGGTTTTCCAAAAACATCTGTCTATAGACGAAATGATGGTACGATATTACGGCCGCCATGGTCTAAAGCAATTTATAAGAAGAAAACCAATCAGATTTGGTTATAAATTGTGGGCTTTGTGTGGTGACAGTGGATACTGCTTCAATTTCTCCCTATACTATGGAAAAGAAGCAATACAGTCAAATAACCCTTTAGGAACAAGGGTTCGGATACACAGTTCACTTTGATAACTATTTTAGTAGCTACAATTTATTCAAAATTTTGAAAGAGAAAGGATTTCGTGCAACTGGCACTATCCGAGACAACAGGACAGAAAAATGCCCTTTGATGTCCGTTAAAGAAGTGGAAAAGTCGAAAAGGGGAATATTTGATTACCGATTTGACGAAAAAAATAAGATATTTATGATGAGATGGAACGACAACAAGTGCGTTACAATGGGAACAAAGTTTGACACTGTTGAGCCAATTTGTGCAGTCCAAAGGTGGAATAAAGACAAAAAGAGCATGCTCCAATTACACAGCCCAGACTTATTAATAATTATAATAAATGCATGGGCGGTGTAGATCACCATGATTGGCTACTCGAGAAACATTCAATAGCCATAAGAGGTAAAAAGTGGTACTGGTGTTTAATCACCCGTATTGTGGATATGGCTGTGGTAAACAGTTTTATATTATATAACCTGCTGCATGCCCAGGATAAGACTTCAATAAAGGAATTTAGAAGGAATATTGCTGTTGCTTATCTAAAATTGGGACATGGTAGACGGCTACAAAAAGGAAGGCCGGTCTACCTTCTACATCGCGAGGACAAGTTGTTTATGATGTTAAGAACTTAAGAACTTAAAAAAAAAGAAAACACATAGAAGTCAACCAATGAGTCATAGTAGCAATCTCTGTAAAAATTTTAAAATTTTAACAAAAAAAATAAATTGGGCGTTAATGGGTTAAAACGAATTGTGGTTTTTATGTTGGATTAAGAACAGAGGGAAGAGAAAAAGTTAGGCAAAAATTTGCAAATTTGCATAAAATATATATCAAATATTTTGATTTGCAAAGGACGACAGGGCAGGGTAATATAAGCCTTCCTAAATACTTCGAAAAACTTAATGAAATATTAGGAGATAAACATAAAGTTAACCCCGCTAAAATTATAGATTCTTCTGCAGAAACTAATTGAAAATTTTCAAATATGTAAAGATGCCATCCCGACTACTTCTTTAGATTTGGTGAGCCACTAGCATCAACATCGAAATGTAATCGCTTTGAAAGTATATTTCCTGCTAATAAAAAGCCAAAAACAAAATCTGATGCAATACAGGAACTTGTAAGCATACAAAAACAGAGCCAAAAAGAAAGAAAAGAAGAATTTGGGACAATGATGAAGTTTTTCCAAGAAACAAATGAAAGTAGGCATCAACAAATTAGATTGGAAAATTGGAACCAAAACAAAATAAAAAAAGAAAGCCATATTATTCCTCTAGCAGTAGTGATTAACAGGATTGATAATTAAAAATGTTTTTCAGTTTTTTAAACGTAACAACTTTAAGAAGCTGTTTTTGTTATAATTTTAAAGTTAGGATTTTTTATATTTTTGTTGTATTTGTTAATTTGTTTAATTTTTTTATTAGGTATAGGTGAACTTTGGTTTTGTTCTTAATTGTTTTTGTATTTTTTGTTGATCTATTCGATTTTTATTATGTATAAGTAAATTTTGGTTTTGTTCCTAAATGTTTTGCTTGCTAAACGGTACCCTAAATTTGTAAACATTGAATTTGTGCGGAACGACAATTCTAGTTTAAATAAAACTTAGCATTTTCAATTGAAACTGAATTTGTTTATTGTTACTTGAAGTTTTGATCAACAATCTGCAATATTTTTATTTTTAAGTGTTTTTTTTTATTGATTTTATCAATATATCAAGCACAACCAGGTTGTTAAAGATATATTTTTTAGGATGTTTTTATGAGCTTTCCCGCTCAAATTTCGCGATCGCAGCAGAAAGGAGCATAATAATGAAACACCCCAATAGGATATGGATCGATACGAAGCGATTAACTATTGTCATGTATATCGTAGAACGAAAGTGATTGATATCGGTTGAGATCACTAATGTCTCATTAAACGCTGCTTATGTGTACTTATTTCTCCTGCTTGATTTAAAGGATATTTAGATACATTCAGGGCCTATCCCCTCACTACCTAAAAGTCCCTTTGAAGTAGTATTATATCCCAATTTCAAAAATAGAAAAGTAAATAACAAGGAAGGCAGGTTTTTTTGAAAATATATTTTATAATAATAAAAAATGTGGCAATTAATAATATATTGGCAATTTCAAATCGTTTCACAATTCCTACATTTCAACATCCTGGTATGGATTGTAATGATTTTGGATTGGAATCACATCATAGTTTTCCCAGAAGTATGTATCAATATGACAAAAGTTGTGAAGCACACAGCAAGCAGCAATAATATCAATGGACTTTTTAGTACTGTTTACATTAATACATTTCAGTATTTGCCACCTAGATTTTAAATCCCAACTGTATATTCCACTGCAATCCTAGTCTTGCTGTAAGATTACCATGATTCCTGCAACAACAAAACACTTTAACAATTATCTTACTACACAAGGAAGACAAGAAAATAGAGGAGTGCTATGTTAAATGGAAAACTTACTTATAAGGTGTTAGAATCCATTTTTTATAAAGGATAAGCTTTGTCTCCAATAATTATAACGTTTAGATTTGGCCTTATAGCGGTTTTTCATTAAAATAGGAATACGCTTGTTTTCGTCTGTGTTCAGTAATTATTAAATGTGTCCTTCTATACCCGCATTTAAACCACTGTGCTTTTGAATCGACAAGCGACTGGATTTCTATCAGCTGAGTGTCGAAGGCGTTTCTTCGCGGGCATTTTTCCATAGATACAGGGGTTTTTCTGCGACACTCTGGGCGAGTAGGTGACTGCCCTGTATTCAAGATGTCGGTTTAGCGTTTCCGCCCTGACGGTAATTGTGGGTATATGATCAGTTTGGGGTAAATAGGACCTCTATTTGAGTTTAGCTAGGCTATTTATTTGGTTTTAGAGGTTTGTTTGGTTATTTTAGCCCATTCTGTCAAGAATTTATTACGTAATAGAGGGCGCTGAGGGGACATCTATTTGTTACTAAGGTATGTTGGTATTATTGTTTTTGGAGGTGTCGTCGGCTTCCTTCTTCTTGGAATTGGAGATGCATTCGACACGTGGATAGAAAGGTAGATTCGAAATTTATTGGAACTCGTTTCAATCCATAATTGGGATATTGCGAAACAACCTTTTGTATAAGTTACAACAGTGTGATTTGGTTGTATTTTTGGTGACCACATGTTGTAAGAGCTCTTTTAGGAGAATATATTTAACCACGTTTTTGGATCTCATACTGGTAAGTTTTTCTACGCAGTACTTAAAATTACGACGTAGTAATTCTTTTTGTAAGGCCTTCGTCTTTTATTTCAGTGCCCACATATATGTAATCTCTTCTGGATAAGCTGTCCACGAATTTGTAGTTCAATTTTATCTGGTGCTTCGTGTGCCCCCTACTGCTGTTAAAGGGGTAAATATGTTTTGATTTTAGTTAGCATGCTTACCTAGATGATTATTAGCCCTAAGTTATGTTTCTTTTCGTTGCATATATTTTCAGTACATGGGATTGACTATTAGGGGGTAGTATTTTGAAATTTAAGGGTGTAATTTGCCTATGAAATGTAATTGTTGGGTAGAACTCGCTTCACGAGCCGTCTATCTTTTTACTTTGTAAATCTGAAGATTACCTACATAAATTAATAAGCCGAACTTAATTTCACTAGTATACGTTGGGTACTTACTACCTATTTTTAGACCTCGCTTCACGAGAAGGCTTTGTAGGTACCTAGTTATTTAATTTTAACTTTATTAACCAGGGATTAATAGTTATTTCTGTGTTTTATCTTACACGTTGTCTTTAGGGTTCTTGGTACGGGCCAGTAGTTCTTGTGACGGGCCAATACTTCTTGTGACGGGCCAGTAGATCTTGTGATGAATTAGTAGGCTTTTGGCGGACTAGCACATCTTGTGACCAGCTAGTACTTCTTGTGACCGGCTAGTATTCGTGTGACAGGCTAGTATCCTTGTGATGAGCTAGAATATACCTTTATGACAGGCAGTTTGATTTGTATGCCGAAGCAGAGATAGTAGGATATCAACCGTCTACTAGAGTTTTCCCAGCTGGAAAGAAGTCACGGTGTACCGCAAGTTTTTGCTTACTTATTTTTATATTACTATTTTTATTCTATTTTATTTGGGGGGTATTATTACATAACTTTATCTAAACCTAATGTAAACGATGTTTAGGGGTGTATAAATTACAGTACATTTTAATAAACGCGAAAAAGTCACCAAGAGCTCTTCGTGGGG